GTACAAACAGCCCCAAAAAAATCGATTTTGAAGCTATCTGAAAAACGAATTTTGGGGCTGTTTGTACGACAGCTGTATTTTCATAACTAATCAACGTTCAGAGCCAAGACACTTTTCATTTTGTAGAGAAATGTTTAATGTAGTTAATTATGCAGTTGCAATTTTAGATTAGTTTGTAGCTTTACTGCAATAATCTTTTGAAAAAGAGCGAAGAAAGGATACCGTTAGCTGGACAAACCGCAACGCTGATTTAGGCTTATAATCAGAAGTATCATTGAGTGAAGAAATGTGTTTATCTTAAGTGTTTGCTATTAGATTTCTTTTAGCAATTCTATTATTCCTTCTCAACTTTTTTTGATGATAATTTTTAGTTACATACCGCTTAGAATTATTTTTTATTACTTTACATAAAATGTCGAATCTACATAAATTATGTGTTTATATGTACTTTTAGCTTTTTTAACGTCTTTTTCATGTTCAGTTGCGCGTTGTATTAGTTTGTCACATAGTTTTCCCTATATACACAGTTAGTGGAAAAAGTGTTCGTACGATGCAGAACGAAAAACGTGTAACATCATTATTTCTGGAAGAAGGAAATAGGAAATTTTTTTTTTTTACCATTCAATAGTCCTAATTCTCAATTCTATTTCGTGTTAATAGCAGATTCTTATCTCAAGTCTTTGTATCAAAAGATGAAGAGATGAAGTTTTTTAACTCTAATCTGTTTTTTTCGCTCAATAAGTGTTCGTACGATCAGCTTTTCACTTCTATTTGGATATTTATGAAATAGATAGAATTTTTGTTTGTATACCAGTCGAAAGAGCAAAATCGGGGCTATATGATGAAAAAAAGAAAATATCAAAAATGATTATAGGTGATAGATGAAAATCGTATTTTTAATTAATTAGTCAAATTTTACAAAAAAATTGATTTGAGTCTATCTAAAACTCATCAAAAACTAATTTTAAATAGATCGTTGAATAGCGCTTGAAAAACTGCATGTAGCTATTGTAGTTTAATTAAAATTTACTATCAATTTCATGTGGTTTAAATTGATTTTGCTTTTTCCGTTCACTACCCAAAATGTTAGAAACGGCACGAAAAAGGCGTTTTTTCCGAATGCGTTAGCGAAAAGAGCCGTTTAAACGCGTTTTTTGTCGTTCAAAACTTTAGAATAACGCGTTCTCTGACAATATGTTTGTTAACGCTTGTTGAATTAACCGTTTTCTGGCGTTTTCTAACGACGCTAAAAGGATCGTTGAAACGCGTTTATTTTATAGACTTATGTAGAACAAACATTTTTCTACAAGATAAGCTATGGGAGAGGGTATCCATCTTCTTGATTCAGTACTTATAAAAAAAAAGATGCTTTACAAGTTCCATGATCGATTATAACCGAGTCAGAACTCGTCGTCAAAAAGTGATTGCAGCAGCAGAAATAGAAAACATGAAGGCTTCATCCATAGCTCATCTTATAGAAAAATGTTTGCTCTATAAAACCAATCGTTAGAAAATTTTTAATATGCGTACTTTTCATGCAATCCGTTCCAGAAAAAAGGTAAAACTTGCCTCATAATCAGTGGCAAGTTATAAATTCAAGAAATTTGTATTTTAGAGAATAATGTTAAATTACAAAGGCATAAGAAAAACATAAGAAGATGCATTAAATAAAGGGATATTGTTCAAAGTTAGCATGAGACTATAGCAAAAAAATTAAACAAAAATCATTGATATTCCTTGTGACGATTATTGGTCACAACCTTTACTTCCAATATGGACAGTCTACCTCCATAGTCATGTATTTTACTTTGTTGCGCTCTGTCCTCTCCTTTTTCGTAGTTTTGTTGTTTCGTTGCCCTTTTTCTTTTTCTTTTTCGTTTTGTTCTTATCTTTTGGCATGTAGTAGAAGAGATATGGAATCAAATAGTATTTTTTAGTGCACTGGATTGTATATTTTTTTTTGGAAAGGATAGTCGAATAAAAGTATAATATACATACAATACGTATCATAGTGTACACATACGATAAACTCTCAAGGACTTTAGATTAGAGAAAATATAAGTCACTACATTCTTGTCATTTGGAACTTTTAAAAATGCATAATAATAGCAGCAGAAGAAGATATATTAAGTAACAATTAAATTATGCATTAAATCCAAAAGTTAACCTCCGTGATTATTTCTAATATGGATTGTTTGTTTCATTGTTTATCAGGTATTAGAAATGAGTTAACTAACTTTACAAAATGGCAGTATGATGACGGCACCGGCAAAGAGCTTTGGGTTTAGAACTTAAACAACTATCGCTAGTCCATCCGATTAAAAAATTTGCCGAAAAAATTGTCTCCAATATGAGACAATATGAGACCACTCCCAGCTCTTCATGACCTTCCTTGAAAAAATTATGAAGTTTTTAAGTTTTTCCTTCAGAGCCTAGAAGATCTCAACTTTTTAGGTTCGTAAATTTTTCTCTTCTTTCCTATATATTCAGAATGTTTTCTTATATATAGCATGATAGAAGAAAGTGTGCTCTTTAAATTGAGATGTTTTCGAGAATTTTTTGATGAGTTTTCTTAGAGATATAAGCATAGCCGCAAATGCCCTGAAAAACAGAGCCCTGTGTACAATATGTGTTTTTCTCACTATGCATTTTTTCAATAGTCCCTTCAATTGGCACACATTACGATCCCTCGAAAAAATGGTCCGATCGAGCTCAAAATTTTAGAACAGATACTTCAGACTCTATCTCAGGTTCGTTTTTTTTAAAGCGTTTTCGATTTCAATTTTCGGCGTGAGAAGGTTTTCAAAATGAAAAACCGATTTTTTATATGAGATTTTCAGTATTTTCCGAATATCTCGAGAAGGAAAGTATATTTTTCAGAAAGAAAAAAAAGAATCTGAGAAAGGGTCTGAAGTATCTGTGATAAAAATTTGAGCTCGATCGGATCATTTTTTCGGGGGTCGTAATATGTGCCAATGAAAACTGGAGTTTTTCCCAAAATTCATAGAAAAACACGTCAGCAAATTCTATGCAAAAATACTTCGATTTTCTTTTTCAATGTTCTATCTCTGGTGTAAATTTGAACCCGATCCGACATCGGCTTCTCCGGTTTCTAAGATGGTAAAAAAAGAGGGGAGGTACCCTTAAGGGCTTATTGAAATAGTAACATTTATTGGCCTTATATTTCATACGGATTTCTGATATTTTTATACGAATCAAATGTTTTATCAATCTACAAATACTTAACATCTAAACATCAATTTCAGCAGTAACAACATTTAAAATATGCTTAAAATAATATTATGCATGCATACAGCGTTAGCTATTCAATTAGCTAATGGAGCGCCCGAAATAACATCATGATCGTACTAGAATGAAAGCTCCGAAGCAATCTTTCTGGTTTCTACCTGAAAAGCTGACATTTTGTATATGAACATATTTTAAAATATTGCTTTTTTTAATAACCAATACTTGCAATCGAGCCATCTTACGATGTCAAGCACTGTTCTTCTGAATCATTATAAACAACAACAATACACCATTGAAATAGTGAAAAATGAGAAAAAGGTTTATTTCAAAAAAGCAAGAAATCGTGAGGAACGGCAGTTCTATCTCGAAATGAATAGAAAATAAATGGTCGATCAAGCATCATAACTGTCTTAATATTTATGATAAGAAATTATTTAGTTTCCTATCGGATATTATAGGACAAGAAATGAAACGAGAACGGATTTTGCATAGAATGGAGAACGATTTGATAATTACGTCAAAATTTGTAATTAAAAGAGAACGGAATAAAAAAAGTCGAAAAGAGCACGGTTTTTTCGTTGAAAAGAGAACGGTTTTGAATTGCGAAATAAAATAATTGAAAAGAGAACGGATTCATAAATTAATTAGTAACCAGGTTATTCTCACGATATTCCTTAAGCCTCTCCCAATGATTGATAGAAATGCGACTATTATGCAAAACTTATATATTTACATCTGAGTAAGCCTGAGTATTAACAACAAATAATAATCTGTGTTCAACATAATAGAGCAAGACTTGTTTTTTTTGGTCGTCCTCCTGTTCATCATATGTTTTGACATCGTCTCGAATAGGTGATGGAGCGCGCGTTGTCAACGCTCGCTTTTCATGACAGTGTTTACTGAATTTGGATATTTCAAATGTATCGACATCGGTTATGCTCAATTGTTTTGCTAGTATCTGCATAGCGCACGATGGAAATTTTTTGTACGATGCACATCGATATCTGTATTTAACACCACCTGATGTATATTCGGTTCGAAATTTCGTTAATTCATATTGTTCAACAATAGTATCGAGATCTGTTGGTGATTTGCATAGGGTTTCAAAAATCCAGCTCTTACGTGACATAGTATAGTAAAAAGTTTACGTAGTGCGACTTTCTTGTGTGTGAACGTTACTATGTATGAATTAACCACATGGTCAGTGGATATTTGTTAGTTTAGCCATCACGCGGTCAAGTCATACTATCTCTTAAGAAGAGCCTTGTAGCTATTAGTAAATCCGTTCTTTTTTCGACGTTTTAGAAAATAAATATTTTAACCGTTTCTTTTCCAGTGTTTTTAGAAATATATAAAAAATCGTTCTCGTTTCAATGCCCTTCTCCGATAAATCAAAAAATTTCAAAAATAATTTTCTGTTCTCCATTCTATGACAATTCCGTTCTCTTTTCATATTTTATCCGATATTACAAGATACTTGATGAAAAGGTACACATAAAGTAGGATCTTTACACTGCTATCTGAATATTTCCTGTATCAATTAATGGTACATATTCAAGTGTGAAGTCGAGGTATTCAGGTCATTTGGAGGCTTTCTGAATTAATACTAGTGCAGTAACAGAATATTTTAGAATAACATGATCAAAGCTTCGCGTTTACCCTTACAAACCTGCACAACTTTCTTTCAAATCAACGGTGTGCACCAGCAGTACTTAGCAGTACTTAAGGTTCGAACAAACGTAGGAATTTATAGTCTACACAGATCAAAGAAGTTATTCTTCTTTGGGTATCTTCTTTTAATATAAACTCAGCCACTTCTTTTTGTGAAGAAAGAAGGGAGAGAGAGAGAGAGAGATAAGTATTTAAAAAACAATTATCAAACCAAAACTTACGATCTATTCGAAAATCTGATATCTCTCTGTTTCAGTTTAAATTTTCACGATATAATCGTCATACGTGTCTAGTATTTTTAGTCTTTCATTTTTATCAAATCTTCCCATTTGATAGTGACCGATTTTCACTTTCAGTCGCATCGTTTCTTAAATGTTATTTACAGTTATTCTATCTCTCTTCATTTCTTTAATAGTAATTGTTTACACGTCTTGTTCCATTACTACTGGTTAAGTGTTTTCATTACTATCTGTTGGTACTACATTGACGATACTTTCACGTATCTGAAGAATTTTGGCTTTTGGTTCCTATAACAAAGATTTAACATTTAACATTACAAAATGGTCCATTAGTTTTGAGATTTACTTTTAATTGTTTCCGTCCCTGTGGATATCGAGATATTCTCTGTTTCACTCTTTGCTGTTTTTCCCACTCGGACTCGAATTTAACCGTCGGATATTGGCTTTGAGTGGAGTGAAGTTTTTGAACCAGTCTCACATTTTCTTGATGATATCCAGCTTGTACACGCTTCCGTTTATCAGCATTTAAACTGGAGAAAATGCATATATACATAACACACATACCGACTCTATTAGTAAAAAAAACCTACCTTTTCTTGACGTAATCGTTTTTCGAATCAATATACCCTCCCGCTTGTACGACATGCATTATATTATTTCGCAATCGAGCATTCTCACCTTCGATCTGTGCTTCTTGATATTCACGTATCTATAGGAAACAACAGAATTTTGTATTCGAAAAGTATTGTCTACTTAAACGTCAAATTACTTGTTTTTGTTTTAATCGTTGAGTGAAATGAGGATATTCTCGTGGTGGACTCAGATCAATTAGACCGTGAGATTTTTTAAGCTAAAAAATGAACGACAGTGTTAAATATTAGATCATTCCATTTGGATTAGGATCTCATAACTTTCTAACCACACTTTTTCAAATCTTTTCTCAAACTGTAGCTTATATATTAGAAAAGAGAAAAGTTCTTAAGATCCAGTGTGTATTGATCTTGTAAAATCCATTCTTACCGAATGTGTCGGAAAGAATAGTAAAAAATCTTTGAACAAGATATGAATGAGAATTTTTAATGGATATAAGACATCTTCTGCAATGTTAGATACACCAACATCAAAAGTTTCTTGTTACTTTCATTAAGGTTTATAAATTGAAATGTTCAATATCAAAGAAATTATGTAAATTATTGTTTTTTAAACTTTGTTTCAGTTCATATCAAATGAGTATATTACATACATTCTCTTGATGTTCCTGCTTTGACTTTACATAGACCGTATGCTCGATGTATTTATTTGTGACTGGGACTAAATTTTGATAAGAACGATGCATTTCTTCTTTTTCACTAATGATGAACGTAGTTTTAGTAAGAATGAAATAAAAAATAAATTGTTTTGTATTAAGTTCTTCAGATTTAAAGAACAAGAAAAATTCTAATAGTCGCTTTGTTTCTAACAACGACGCACGCTTCTATTTTCAATTTTAATTTCACGCATATTTTGAATAATAAAAAATTTTATTTATTATTTTTTTCGTTTTCTTTTCCATTGTCATCATTATAAAACATACTCCAATATTTCAATGAAGTGTTGCTTTCCAGGGTGATATCCATATGAAAGAAAAAAATAGTTGACAAAATAACATAAAAAAATTAATATTTATAAACGTTTGTATAAATGAAAGATGAAACAGGTTTCATTTCCATAGACATGTTTCATTATATTAATACGTTTGAGATACCATACAAAAATTGATTGACTACTACGAAGAAATAAAGCATAAAAAAGGAACTTCGAACTTACCTCTCACTTAGGAGATGAAACATGACTAGTTCAGAGAATACATCATTTTTCTCTAGCATTTGTGTCCTGAATTTGGAAGATCGTCAAATCGTTTAAATAAAGATGGTTGAGTTTCCACCTTTCGAAGACTAAAAGTTTCGAAATCTAACACAGTAGATTGCGCAGTATAGATGGTACAATCTCATCTCGGTGCTATCGAACGAGAACTGGTCACCAGTTTCGTCGACCAATTCTTAGGACTGTAAAAACTGAAACTGTTCCATCCCCATTGTGTAATGATACAGCGAACAGACTCAAAAAACTACCCAACTTCCTTCTTCAATCATATTAGATTATTGTCAGAACGGGGTGCCATATTTTGTGATGATAAATGAGGAACAGTGAACATATGTAATAGAGTATAGTTAAATCTAAAAATGTTAGTGCATCAATGACAACGTAATGATCGATTTGTGGCATATGTATTGGCGTCGACTGTATTCCGACAATAGTATCATAAAATTCTGCCAATTTTTGATAAATATCGTACAATTCATAATATTCAGACTCTAACAATAGGCGATGATAATAATCCTCAAATATTTGAAATGTATTACGATTATGACTTAATTTGCATGTTCGAAAATAATTCAACAATACGCGAAATAATCGTGGATCACCATCGATAAAATAATGTCCTAAATATAAACGTCACTGCAATTAAAGAAACGTCGCTACTTACAGACATGAATCTCATAAAACTATCGAAAAATTACTTAAGTCTATCAGTCCGTTATTACGCTTTCTGGCGCGATCGAGCAAGATTGCCTGTTTCGGCAAGATGTATTGCCCGATCAGGCAAGGAAACAAGATTGCCTAATCGGGCAAGATACCTTACCAGAACCGGCAATATCAATCTTGCCTGAACGAGCAATATTGCCAAATCGAACAAGATAAATTGTGCAAAATTGAGCTGTGTTTGCTATTCGTATCTGTCGTAAAAGAGAAAGAAGATTGAACATATTACTTTAACATACGGTAATGAATCAGTGCACGAGGAGTAGAATGAACACTTCCCGCCCATTAGACGACTGATGATTCTCGAGATCAGACCTTGTCTGAACGGTCAAGTTGCCTGTTCAGGCAATATTGTCTGATCAGACAAGTGACAACGGACTGTCTATCATGTGCGAAGCACTAATATACCGAATTTCAAAAACGAGTAGACATTGCTGCTAATTTCGAGAGCATACGTGGCTTTGATTTTTATATACCGTATTCTCAAAGGGAAGAATAATTTTGATATGTTTCATTTTTCTCTTTCAACCAAAAATATCAGCCGAGTAAAAAACGACGTATGAAAAACATATAATGAAAAGTAAGAAAAAAATTCTTCAAAAGTCAATTTAAACGTGACGGTAAACAAGTTCGGTCTAAGAAGGGATTTCTAATTTCATCGAATGAATTTCTCATGTTTCAAAAATTATGCTATTTACAAGAATGTATATTGAGCTCATTTATCTATTTTTTATGCGTTTATCGGTTAGTTTCATTGCGTTTGATGAAATGTACAAATGATGCAAGATCTATTCAACTTAAATGGCTCTGGAAATAAGGGCTAAAGAGAAGTCACTGCTCATTCATTATTTTCCAATTCTGATTTTTAAGGACGAATTTGAGTATGAGTCATCGAGTGCGATCAGCGTACACGTGAAGAATCGTCAAACAAAGATCAAGGATTTTAAGGACGTGATTTTTATATTATTTGCATAATGGTGATGCACAAAAACCTTTCTCTAAACTCGCGATGTTTAAGATTTATCCCTCTTGAAATTGACAATTTTGATTAGTATTGATTTGATGATAGATACCTAGACAAATAGCCCAGAATGTTTACTTTTAGGTATCAAGATAACCTTACAAGAACTTTTCCAGATGTCAAACTCCGTTTTCAATGATCTTATGCCAGTTGAAAGAGGAAAGCGTTCTAATTAAAACCCTAAAAGCTTTATGCCTATGATACTTCTTTCACGAGTTATGAATGTTTTTGTTTCACTGGGAAAACCGATACAAAAAAGATCGGCCAACAATCTTACCAAATCATTACAATGATGGAATAACTATTATTCACAAAGAGAATCAATTACATCACCGAAACAAACAAATTAAATAAATTATAGAAAGTGAGGAGAGAGAAGATAGTTTGTCCTCTAAAAAGCATTAACTGGGCCACAAATTAACCATAAGAAAAGAAAAATGAATTATTAGGAAAACATGGTTTTCTTTAAGAACAAGGAAAATTCAATAGATTATTTTCTAGAGGCTGAAATGCTGATTCTTTCTGTAATATTAATCAAGTATTAGAACAATCATACAAAAAAAATGTCAGCTCAAAATTCGTTGTTATTATCGAGATACAAAAATTTTAGCGTTTTTGTATTTGTGTCCCAGTGAAACAAAAAAGAACTCATAACTCCTGAAAGAAGTACCATGGGCACAAATCCTTTTAGAATTTTAACTAGAACACTCCCATGACGCACTTTTTTTCGTAATACCGACGGTTACCGACCTGTCTATAGATTACCACTAGTTAACCGTACCGTTCGGTATAACTACCGGTTTAGCGACGATTTTTTCTTCTACCGGCGGTTACCGCACGCTTTCAGACCGTGGGACAAGAAAAACCTGTCGGTAACCGTTTTGACACATTCACCTTTTTGTTTTGCGGTTGGCAGTCTATGTAAGAAACGCAGAAAAGTCAACAAGCTTTGATTCTTTTTTAGATTAAACTTTCTCTTTCAGATTGTATAGACTCGTCGAAGTTTGCACTTCGACTTGAGTCAAGTTTTTTCCGTTCGGGTACCTCATTGCGCTGCATACATACGGCATACCCACTGCAAAAAACACAAAAAAAAGAAAGCTAAGAACTAGATTCGAATTCCTGTACTGTTTGCTCACGCTAATAAAATACCGGTTGATATCGCCCGTACAACCGACCAGTGTACCGCGCGGTTTGGTAGATCGTACGGTAATTTGAGTTCCGCTGGTGGTATACCAACGAATATTACAGACTGATACCGGAGCGGTAACCGGGCAGTATTTAACCGGTTTTGATGACATGGGTTTTCATCTATCAACTAGCATAAGATCATTGAAAACGGAGTTTGACACTTGTTCGGTCGTTAGTCTAAGCTTTCGACGCTATCATATGTGCTCTTTCCCACAATGTACAAGAGATTTTGTCCAAACCAAGTTTTACGAAGCTAGAGTGACTTTATTGAAATTTACTATATACCTGGTTAAATTTGCCCGTTTCATTGGATATATTATAAGAATGGTGTTTCCTTTGAATGGTGAATACGTAAAGTATCCATATTGCTTTTAATAGAATACCTGATTAAATTACATCACTACAATATTTTATTTCTATATTAATGAGAAATTACGAATATGAAACACCTTTGCCAGATCAGTGCTCTAATCGATTAATATGAATTATACGAAACTGCTTCTATTCAAATAAGGGACAAATCGGATGAAATTCTTGAAAGGGTTCATCGCGAGAACATGTGTTCAAATCAGAGATAGGGATAAGTGCCTAGTTTATCGATATTGCTTTAAGTAGAATACCTGATTAAATTACATCACTACAATATTTTGTTCAGTTAACTAATGAACGCGAGAAGAAAACACAAAGTCAATGGATGTTATGTTGATCGAACTAATCATAGCTTGTCCTTCGCCTCTCCAATCTTCTTTTGTGCCTTGTTAGCTACATCTTTCGCTTTGTGTCTCGCTGCATTCACTTTGTCTTGTGCTTTGCCTTTCGCTTTTCCCACAGCATCATCTAATTTCTCTCCAACTGTTTCATCTTGAGTGCGAAAATAAATTTTCCGTATGAATATGACGGCCACAATGAGGCAGATGATGATGAGAATGAAGACCTTCAGATTGAATTGTTTCTTGTTTGGATGATTGTGCATAGCTTTAGTTCACACTTGGGTTTCAACTCAGAATAGACGTGCTTGGCGCAAGTTAGAAAGTATGGAGACACGCGGTAACAATAATGGACACCATACTAATATGTGCATCGAAGAAAGATGATTTTTCTCTTTCTTTCTCACTATCGACACAAAATCTTCCTTTCTGTTATTTGTTTTACTCCGAAGTTTGTACATTAGTTCTACATGAGCAGTTTAGTCATGTGTAATGTATACCACGAGTCAGTGCACACATATGGAGGAAGGAAACATCTCATTGTCCTCTTCTCTACGCGTGATGTGAGCTAAATGAAACATTGTGAACTGCAAGGAACAATCTTATCAACAGAGAAATGATCACTACTATCCATCCCAAAATACAAGACCCGTGGGCATTTTTTGAATAACGTTTGATAGGAATGAGATAGAGACCCGCAATTTTCGCTGTTCAATAGCCAAGACTTGAGCAGAACTTTTCACAAGCGGAAGCAACTTTTGAAAAAATTCCAGAGATCGGGTTTTCAGGGGATCTTTGGAAAACCAGCTTCGTTCTCAGAAAACTAACATACAATGTTAGTAAGTTTTTTGCATGCGTAGATAGCTCGGACGTTACTCTACAAAATTATGCAGGTCCCGGCTCTCTAGCTATCGTCGTTCGGGCAGGGCTCACTTTCCTCGAGCACGTGTCCATCTCCGAGCAGACATCTCGGGGAATCTCAAAATGCCATGAACTATAGGTAATCGACTACGCTGAGCATAGCAGCAACATTTGTTTTTGTGTAGAAATCAATATAACTTCGCCAGAGGCATTGTTGTGAAAAACGGGTTTTTCGCCTGTTACTAGTAAAAATTAAATTCCTTATATCTCGATCAAATCTCATGCTGACTCAAGGAAATTTTCAAGAAAGGATTAAAAGGTGCCATATGTGGTTGACCACGCCGAAAAAGTGATCCAGCAGAACACTGATACTCTAAGGTTTTTCAGAAGGTTTCTAGAAAACCTTAAGCCAATGCCCAGCTCACATCCACCTTTTCCTTCTTTGATTATGTTTTATGAGCTGTCCTGAGCGTTTTCTGAAAATTTCCTTGAGTCAGCATGAGATTTGATCG